ACAACTACTATTTGGAGACCCTTCATGGAATTTTTGTTGAAAATGGATAAAAAATGAACTGATGATTTCTGGATTTATTGATTAATAAGGGCAGAATAAGGGAAGAAGGGAATCATGTTATATAATTTTGAAGGGGAGAAACCGTTTTAAATATGTTTATCACTGCTATGAAGAAGATTGGATGCTGTTCCCTTAACCATCTTCATGATTTCTTTGTCTATTTTTCTCTCTTTATTGCTTTAACACTTTTTTCTTTTTCTTTTATCTTTTCATTATATTGTTTTGTGTTTATCTTTTTAACTTTGTAAAAAAAAAATCTTCAATAAAACTTATTTTAAAAAATCATTGGGATTCCCCCCTCTCTGTCTTTCTCTCTCTCTCCCCCACAAATAATATAATATCTTCCCATAGATGTCACATAACCACATCCTTTGTTACACCACAACCCAGGATCAGAAAGTCAGAAAAAAGATGAGAAATGGTGATTGCTCAGTTTCATATTTTTGATGCGAGCTGCAGTCAAAGCAAGAAAGTTCAAGCATGGATTCCTGGCTATTTTTCTTCTGTTTTCATTTCAACTGTAAGTTTACTCTCTTGAAAAAAACAATAGGAAAGGAGGAGAAGGGGAACAAGGAATACATGAAGGAGAAGGAGAAGGGATACATGGAGGAGAAGAAGAAGAAGGAAAAGGGATACGTGAAGGAGTAGGAAGAGAGGGAGAGGGGGCAGCCTTGATTATTACTCATACCATTCATACCATAAATTGGATATTCAGATGTTGTATAAATTGTATAGAAAATTTGGTGGGAGTTGGTGCTATGAACCATGCATAAATATAAATGCATAGGATATAAAAATATAAAGGCCAGGAGAAAACTGATTGTTTTATACTATATAATGTACAGCACAGGTCAGCAGATAATTATAACGATTATGGAAAAGGCAGAAAGGAGAATAACCCCTAATTTCTTTATATAGCAGAGACAAAATTTAGTGAGTAAGAAGAAAACCACTTTGCTTGTCCATGAATTTGGGAAAGAGTTCAATTTAAACAGCAGGAAAACAAAACTCAGAAATAACACAGATGAAGTCACTGGAAATATGCGATCTAAAGCTGCTTTTTAATGCAGAAAACTTCAAATTAACTGCTATTTAATAAGAGAATCAGTGGTTGTTGGAAGGGAGGGGGGGGGAAGGAATTGTATAATCAAATGTGTTGCAAGTAACATGTCTTCCAGCATTTGGGAATGTTCAGTGATTTTTTTCTGTCAAAGTAGTGTTTGCTGTGTTCATTAGAGATAAATCTTAACCTTACCTTGAAATTTTGTCTCTCTGCAGTCTGGGTCTCCATATCCCAAGTGACACAGACACCCCTGTATAAGGAAGTCAAGGAAGGAGATTGGGTCACAATCAACTGTAACATCAACACTGTATATAGTTATTTCCATTGGTACCGACAGGTGCCCAGAATGCCACTCTCCTATCTCTTGTCCATAACTTCCAGTCAGAACATCACTGAAAAAGGTCTCACAGCAGAGTACCTGGATAACGGTCAGAGAAGTTGCCTCCACCTTCCAAGCTCTCTGCTTCAAGACTCAGGAACCTACTTTTGTGGTGTGAACCCACAGCAGTTCAGGAAGTCAGAAGCCCACAATTAAAACCTAAGAGATTCTGAAGCTTTCTGTATACCTTTACTAGGTTGCCCCATTCTTTTCAGCTCAATCAATAAGACTGGGAGAAGTGCTGCAAATGAGGACCAGGTGGTCTAGATTATCTGGAACTAACTCCCACATGCAAAGACATGTACACATGGTCATTCAGTTTCAGCACTGCTGTTTGCTTGCAGCAGGAGTCAAGGACAGAGCTCACTCATTATTGATTGCTGTCTCCTGTACCCCTCCTGTGCTAAACCCATTCATTGAATAAGCCATAATGGTTCATTGAATAAGCCATAATGACTGGGTTCACATATTGTGCTTAATCATAAGCTATGCTTTCCAGATCATAGTGGTTGCATTCCCAGATCATGCTAAGCTAAAAGAAAAATACTATAAACTCAATCATTGTCGAATAAAGAAGATATAGTATTAGACATGCTCATAATTAATGCAATTTTTCAATAGATTATCTCTGTTCCAAGAACAGAACCAAACTGAATCAATATTTGGGTCCTCCTCCCCTTCATTCTGTCCACTTTTCCTTCATTTTCAGTTCTAAAGAAAACTCTTTAGAGGCCTTTCCCCACTGCTTAAGTTCTGTTTTCCACCCATCCCAAGTCAACAGAAGGCTGCTCTTGATTGAATTGTAAGTGACCTATATTCACTGATTGAAGCAGTCTGAAAAAAATCAATCAACCAATCAATCGATCAATCATTCATTAACCTACTCCTTCATAACATTTTCTGTCCTCTCTGCTGATCTGTCTCCTGTTTCTGTTGCTTCTGTTCCCGGTCACTTCACTTACCTAACATTCCTCCAAGTGACAAAGGATTTGCATACTCCCATGCTGTTCTTGGATGGTGTCAGAAAAGGAGGAAAATACTACTTAAGGCTTTCTCATTCATGGGCTGTGGATGAGATGAAGGCCACATTATGGGAAGGTGGCAGAACCATGATGTTCCAGGGCATGGTTGAGCCAAGGTTAGGTGTAAGTGGAAAAGGTTTTATACATTCTTTTAACCAAGTCTTGTTTCTTCCCCACTAGATGGCAATAAGCTCTGGAGTCTGGGAAGACAAGTCTAGAGAAGACTTTTCAGTCGGAGCATCCAGTGCACATGAGAAGAATCCTTTGCTCTTGTCTGCAGTGCTGATTTCATAGGAAGGAGGCAACCCAATCAAGACCATCTGTGTCTTCCAGGATGGTTTGGAGAACTTGTCTAATTCTTATTTGGACTGTTTTCTCTGTGTAAGCAAAGGAAATCCCTGAGAAAACCTTTAAAGGATGAAAGGACTTCTAGATAATACCAACTGTGAGAAATCTGATAAGCTATGCCTTAGGCCTCAACTTTCCTTCTCTCTTGGGACAACTCAAGGCATTTCCCCCCTTCTGGCACCCTCCAGATGCTAAGACTACAACTCCTATCATGGTTGATCATTGGTCATGTTGGATAGAGATGTTGGGGGTTATATTCTAACACAATCCAGATATTACCTCGTAAGGAAGTGCAGATCCCCAAAAATGGGAAAGGCACAAAAAAGGCCACACTACAGGTTGAAGGGGCTGAAGCAATTCCCTTATGACCAAGATTGCAGTATTTGGAACTCTTCTACTACAAAAACAATGAGTAAATATGTATGGAGCAGCCTTCCCAATACGGGCACCTTTGAAAGGGGTGGACATCGACTCCTAGAATTCCTTCACCACCAGGGCAACAGTTGAGGATCCTGGAAGTTAAATCCATTTCTGACACTGATTAGTTTCCCAACCTCAGCAAGGATGGAGAAACACATTATAGGGTATTGAAATGTGGCCATGCCAGTGATGGCTGGAAGGGGAGGAGGAGAGATCTCATCCTTGTCCCTTTATTCTATCTTCTTCAGATTGGAGCAGGTAAGTGTCTGGTAGAAACCAGGACAATGCCAAACATGTGTCGTAGCATTGCAGGGTTAGATGCAAGGACCTCAACTCTCCTGCCCTGTGATTTTGCAGAGCCTACTTTGTAATTTGCTCCACTTGCCACTTCCTTGCAAGCTCTGATGGAGGTGCAGCCTTTCCTCTAGAGCACTGAATAGCAGCTCCTAATCCTCATGAACAAGAGTTGCCATCATCCCTCCATCTTTCAGTCAAGGAAGGAGAATCCATCTGGATGAACTGCGCCTATACGGGAACAAGACAGTCTTCAGTGGTACAAGCAATATCTGGGGGCCAGTCAGAGTCCATGATATTACTAACTACATTGAAGATTGAAACAAAGGATCATTTTGAAATGGGCCTGGACACAATTAAGAAGACCACCTCTTTGATGCATTTGGTTCTTTCGTTTTTTTCTCCTAAATCTTGCCTGCTTCTCTCCACAAGAGGGCAGAAACAACTCGTTTTTCCCCAGAGTTCATCAGATCCTAGTTTGGGGTAGCGGATCCCTTGTTCTTCAGTGCATTTGGTTCTAGCACAACTACCAACAATAATAATTGTAAGATCTGGTGCCACAAGGATGGAGAGCAATATATTCCAGGCAGAGAAATTTGAGCTTGACATTTTGGGATGCTAGGGGAGGAGATGGGGGGTCTTCTAGATTTCTTCTGCCACAGTCCTATCAAGGGAGTCAGGTAGGATAATAGTTTTCTTGGCAAAGTGGTTTGCCAATGCTTTCTTCACAGGATATTTATTTTACTTTCCAGGAGAGTATAGAACTGAGGGATCTGCTTGTGATCTCCCACCCAGGTAGTCACTAGGCCTGATGCTGATTAGTTTCCCAACCCAGGCAAGGATGGAGAAAGACATTTTGGGGTATTGAAATGTGGCTATGCCAGTGATGGCTGGAAGGGGAGGAGGAGAAGGAGGAGGGAAGATCTCGTCCTTGTCCCCTTATTGCATCTTTTTCAGATTCGAGCAGGCAGCTGTCTGGTAGAAACCAGGATGATGCCAAACATGTGTCGTAGCATTGCAGGGTTAGATGCTAGGACCTAAACTCTCCTGCCCTGTGATTTTTCAGGATTAGGGTTCAGTGATATCAGTGAGGCTGAAATGAAACACAGTGGAGAGATTCCCTTTGGATGCATCCCTGATAGATTTCCCCATTTCTTATGTAATCATCATCACTGTTATCATCTGTGGTGGAAACATTCACATATGTTCTCTACTGTGAATATTTCAAACTATAAAACAGCAAGACCTGTTTTGGTTTGTTTGCTCAAGAATGTTATTTAAGACAAATTTTCTAGTTCTGGGTTTGTGGTACATTCCTCCTTTGATCTATGTGAATCAAACAAAGATCAGTAGGTCTTTGATCCCCGGAAGGCCTGAGCATGAAACCACCCAGAAGACTGTGGCTGGGTTCTCAGTCTGTGGTGTTTCTGCTGATAGAGTTGTCCTGCCTGTTGCTGAGAAAGAAGGATGGGAGATCTGGACTGCAGGATTGTTGCCTTGCTGTTGGCCATCTCCACAGGTATCCTTTTCTTCTTATTCCTTGATTTATTGATGTAAAAAATATTTCTCCATTTTTTTTTTGGAAGCAAGGCCTCCTCAAGGTAGTTTAGGAGCTGTATCTTTTGAAAGCCATAAAATCAAGAAAAGCATCAGCCATAAAATTCATTCATTTAAATGAGGACCAGAATAACTTACTTTTTAAGAGTAGTTTGATAGATGAAGACCAAGTTTCGGATCCCATCCAAAATATCCTGTCATTTGGAACCCCCAGGACTGTCAATGTTGTAAGTGGTTTCTCAGTGATTAACAAGTCTGAATCTGAACTTTCCCCAACAGAAAAATCTCTTAGCTGCATATGATTGTATTTGGATGACCAGTAGTGTAATATGATCCATCTTTGCTTAGAAATATGTCTTCCTAAATTCAGCTGGAGATCCTTAAGAATGTAATTGTAGGATTGCAAACACTGAATGATAATTGCTCCTTTGGAAATTGAAAATGTTGATGATTCAGCTAACTAAACTTGTTGGTGGAGTCTTTCTTTCTTTCTTTCTTTCTTTCTTTCTTTCTTTCTTTCTTTCTTTCTTTCTTTCTTTCTTTCTTTCTTTCTTTCTTTCTTTCTTTCTTTTTCCCTCCCTCCCTCCTTCCCTCTCCCCCTCCCTCTCCCTCTTCTTTTTTTAATATTCCCATTCCTTTCCAGCTGTATCAGGTCAGACCACCATCACCCAGGAGGACCAATTTCTTTCCATCAAGGAAGGAGAATCCATCTGGATGAACTGCTCCTATACAGGAACACAATATAATCTTCAGTGGTACAAGCAATATCCAGGGGGCCAACCAGAGTTCATGATATTACTGGCGAGTTCAATGACTGAAGAAAAGGATGATTTTGATATGAGTCTGGACACAGCCCAGAAGACCACCTCTTTGTATCTGAAGAACACCCGGCTGAAGGATTCAGCTGTCTATTTCTGTGCATTGGAGCACAGTGGTTCAAATACACATCCTGGCTATTACCAAAGGTGGAGAGCAACTGAGGAGTAGAACTAGAGCTGGCTACTGGTGGCCCTCTGAAAGAAACATCAGGAGATACTCCTCAGTGACAGCATCACAACCAAATATCCACTTTTTTTTCAGCTTATACATTTTCTCCTCTTGTTCCACGTGTTAGTCATCTGGAAATTGCAGCAGAAAGTCCAAGACAAGGAAATAGTCTAAAAGTTCCTAGGAATCAACTGAATGATTCCCTTGCCTTTCTCTTCCAGCTGTCCGATGCCAGGAGGAGATGGATCAGAAGCCTATAGAAGTCAGCAAAGAAGGAGATGATTCCACCATTGCCTGTCGGTTCAAATCCAGCAATATCTATGCTATGCACTGGTACAGGCAATATGCAGGAGAAGCACCTGTTTTTCTCCTAAAGGTTACATCAGTGGAATCCAAGAAAGATGACCGCTTCAGTGCCAATTTTGACAAACAAAAGAAGCAGAGCCACTTCAACATCACAAAGGTGCAGTTGAAAGATGCCGCTATCTACTTCTGCAGCACAGATGGTCACAGCAACACAGAGGCACTTGCTGACTGTACAAAATCTCACCAAGGCTAAGCAACTAGAAGAGAGCAGGACCTGTTTTGGTTTGTTTGCTCAAGAGCGTTAAGACAAAGCTTCTAGGTTCTGGCTTTGTGGTATATTCCTCCTTTCATCTACGTGAATCAAAGCAAAGATCTGGAGATCTTTGATCCCCGGAAGGCCTGAGCATGAAACCACCCAGAAGACTGTGGCTGGGTTCTCAGTCTGTGGTGTTTCTGGTGACACAGTTGTCCTGCCTGTTGCTGAGAAGGAAGGATGGGAGATCTGGGGAGCAGGATAGTTGCCTTGCTTTTGACCATAGTCACAGGTATCATTTTCTTCTTATTCCTTAATTTATTGATGGAAAATATATTTAATTAATTAATTTTTTTTTTGAAGCACGGCCTCCTCAAGGTGGTTTAGGACCTGAATCTTTTGAAAGCGACAAAAAGAAAATCAAGAAAAGCTTCACCTAGAAATGATGCTGTTTAAATAAGAGACTGGAATAGCTTAACCTTTAAGCTTAGTCACTTCAGCTACAGGGAGGTGCAATTGAAAGATGACGTTGCCTACTTCTGCAGCCCAGAAGATGACAGCAACACAGAGGCACTTTCAGACTGTCCAGAAGCCCTCCAAGGCTGAGTCCTTCTCCAAAAGGGAATTGAATTCCAGCTGGGTAATGGGGATGCTGTCAGGACCAGTCCAAGACCAACAGGGAAACAGTCCAAACAAGTTCAGTTCTTTTATTGCTTACACCATATAGACAGAATCTTGCCAGATTAAATCTGTACTGTGCTAATCTGATAGATATACCCTGGGAGATTCTAGAAAGTGGCTATCTTAAGTCTCTCCTCTTCACACAGTCCTGCTCTGGACTGTGTTGCCTCTGCTCTCCCTGCTTTCCCTCCTGCAATGTGCTCCCTCCTTCCTGAGAACCTGGATCTCTACCAAAGCTGACTTTGAAATGTCTCTGCCTTGGGTTGGGGATGAGATGCTTTTCCCCACAAGAGGGCAATAGAACCTACAACAGATTCCAGCCACATTCTCTCAATGGGGACCCTGTAACACTTTTATGTGGCTCTTTCCCCTCCCCTTGACTCCGCTGGCTCTCTGAGACTTCCCCTTGATAGGACAGATCCGAAATCTCAAGAAATGTTTGAGTGAGGACTCTGTTCCTTGATGTAGGGCAGGGCTGGTTGATTCCACAGGGGCAACCCCGGAGAGTGATGG